AGTGTAAAGGTGGCCATACACTTTACAACCATCGCAAGACCTTAGTCTTGCGATGGTTGTAAAGTAATTTAAAAAACGTACAATCTGCCCATCTTGGACAGGCCGATCGTACTTCCGATCATCACAAGCCACGCCCCCGAGGGGCGGGCTTCCGATGACTGCAATGCTGAACGGGCAGTGTGCGTGTACCGGCCCGTTCGGCATTTGCCTCCCGAGCACCGTTCCAAACTAGCCGAAAATAGTAAGATTTGTCTGGTTTTCTAGCGTGCTCCTTAGACAAAAGACGTGCGAGCGTACAGTAGAAACGGTCGCACGTCTTCGTTCACACTGCTCGATTCTCGTACGAGAATCGTGCAGTGTATGGCAGGGGCGTCCCGAGGCTGGGTGACACCCGGAGCGGTAACCGAGTGTCACCCCGCCGAGACGTCACTGCACGATGACGTCGTCGCGCACGCGCGGCAGTATTCTGATACCTGCCGGTGGCCATCTTGGTGAGAGAGGAGGGGACAGGCACCCGGCGGGATGAGGTATGCCGCCGGGTCCCCTCCTCTCTCCTGATACTGTCGGGCGTTCAATGACCGAGCGCCCGACTTTTCAGAGGGGGGGGTGACCCCAAAATGAATGCGAGTCATTTTGGTGTCACCCCTCCAATGGTGGCACCCGGGTGCGGGCCGCACCCCGCCTTGTGACGCCACTGGTGTATGGGCACCTTTAGGGACAGCAGTGTAAAGCTTGCAAATGGACAAGGATACCTCACCACTGACTAACCGATATTCTATCTGGTATGGCCATAGCCATCTGGGCAACCCGGGGAATGGGCGTGTGCGGCCAGAACTATGGTCCTCTACCATCTCAATATTCTATCTGGTATGGCCATAGCTGTCTGGGCCACCCAGGGAATGGGCATGTTTGGCCAGAACTATGGTCCTCTACCATCTTAAGCATGACATTTTAGCACCAACCCCCCCAAAAAATAAAAAGGGCGGGGCCGAATGGAGATAAATCCTCCAATATTTGACTACAGAATCCCTCCCCTCTATTATGACAGATTGGGTGTTTTAGTCCAGTCCTAGCATGACACCACTGCTCCTCCATAACTAAACTACAGTGAGTGAGTGTTGTCACCCCAGGACCAGATCACCAAAAATTAAAAAAAAGCTGAAGCTGCATTTAAAAAGTAGGAATATTATTCTATGAATGGTTCTCTTTAAAATGACACTAAGGGGCATACTTAGGAGAAATGTACATGGCAGTGCCACATTGTATCATGTGTGAATGGGGCAAAAAACAAATGTTCTTAGTGCATTTACTTTCCAGGTCAAATGTAACATCAGGAAAATATCACAATATGGCCACTAGATGGCGCTGAGGAGTATTGCAAAGTTGTATTCTTGCCTTAGATCCTTGACTCCATCTAGTGGCCATCATGCGGTATTTTCCTGATTCACTCTAATCTTCCGAATGAATTACATTCAACCTGCAAAGACCCATCGACCGTCCAATCACAGCACCAGCACAGCTGAAGGAAGATTTGCCCAATTGAATTTCCCAAACAACCTTCAGATAAGAAATGCGTCATTTAGTCTGAGAACGGCAATGGAATGCACGGCATTAGGGAACCGTGCGTTCTGGTGCGGATGTACAAACTGTGGGTGGGAGGTGCATTTGGGCTACCATTAAAGTGAATGGCAACGCAACAGCCTGGATCCTCAGCCCGGGGTCCAGTGTGGGTTGGATGTGAGCTACGACGGAGCTCCATCCAAATGTGCAATGCTGGTACAGCTCCCTTGTGTGCCATGTAGAGGTGCCGGGAGCCAGAATGTGACGTCACACCGGTCCAGGCTCCTCTACAGGCCATGTGAGGAAGCTGTGAGCGATGCATGGATGGATGGATGGATGGAGCTCCCTCGCGGCCCTAGCCCACCTCAAGCTGACACTCGGCACCGGGCAGCACGTTTTAAATGGCCGCTCGGCACGAGAACGGACAGCGCTGCGCTAGGAGGAGGCTGAGGGGACCGTGAGGACGCTAGTTTGTGTCTTCCCGTTACCCTAAGGAGAACTATGGGGAAAAGCCCTGACCTCGTACTTCTCCTTTAATACGGCTTCCAAGGGACAGATGCTCCCGACATGTCACACTGACGGAAGGAAGAATCCGGCAAACCCCGCCATCTCCTCTACCCTAGGCCCCTTCGCACCCATCCTTGCCTCTTCCTTCCTATCGCCCCCAAGTCTATTCCTCAAACACTCGTACCCCTTTCTATACTCGGTTACCATGGCTACACACAAGCTTCTGGTTTTACTTTCCCATCAGTAAGGTCCGGGTCACACCCGGGCGTGTTGTAGCGCGTTCCTACGCTCTGCAAAACGCTCAAACACCGAAATCCCATTATTTCCTATGGGCGTGGTTCACACCCTGGGCGTATTACAGGCTGCATGAACGCGCTACAAAACGTCCTACGCCCAAAAGAAGTACAGGAGCTTCTTTGGGGCATTTTTGTTGCGCGTTTCCATTGGGATACAGCCAAGAAGCCCTCGGAAACGTGCGGTTTTTTTACAGCGAATCGCGGTAAAAACGTGCGACAAATGCGCATATTCAATACGCCTAGGTGTGAACCCAGCCTAAGAGTTGGAGATTTCAGGGTGGTCCTCCACATGCCGGGTCCAGAAGGTTCTTCCATATGTTCGGTATCATATTCCCCGCCACGTAGACCGGGGGTGGGGAACCTATAGCCCTCCGGCTGTGGTGAAACTACAAATCCCATGAGGCATTGCAAGATTCTCACAGCCACGACGCCCAGAAACAGATGCATCATGGGATCTGTAGTTTCATCACAGCCGGAGGATCCCCCGATTTAGAGGGATCCCCGCCCCCGATTTAGAGGGACAGAGAATGGATGTTTTAAAACTTGATTGGTGAAATCGCGAGTTCCACACCGAACTAAAAACGTACCTCTGGATACACCAATGGTCACCTCGTCATCGTCTGGACCCATCAATGTGTTCTCTCACTTATGGGAACATTTTACCCGACATGGAGGGGTGCCAATGGGGCCCACACACTGGTCAAGCCGAAATGTCACCGGTGTATGGCCGGCTTTACCCAAATTCTGCCCAGCTTTGGAAAGCTCATCCGGCAGAGACGGCTACGCACATGTAAAGAGTCCGGTATAGTATACTTACCGGGGGTAAGTTACTCACAGGACAGCTGATGGTGGAGCAAGACGTGCTCGGCCGGTGTGTACCCGCCATTCTCTCTACTTCTGCTGTGAAGGAGCGGTGATATTGGGCTATGGAAGTCGTTAGTCCAGGGGTAGGCTCTCCAGCTGTGGTGAAACTACAAGTCCCATGAGGCATTGCAAGACTGACCACTACAAGCATGACTCCCAGAGACCAGGGGTAGGCACCCTATGGACTCCAGCTGTGGTGAAACTACAACTCCCATGAGGCATTGCAAGACTGACCACTACAGGCATGACCCAGAGACTAGGGGTAGGCATCCTATGCACTCAGCTGTGGTGAAACTACAAGTCCCATGAGGCATTGCAAGACTGACCACTACAGGCATGACTCCCAGTGGAAGATGCACGATAGGATTTGTAGTTTCATCACAGCTGGAGTGCCAAAGTGACCTACCCCTGGTTTTGCAGTAGTCAGTTGCCATTTTGAACACCGATGATGACGGACAATGTTACACCGAGCCCTGTGATCAGCGGCTATGAGAAGTGAGCGGACAGGTTGACGCACATGGAGACGTTTATTGATGTGTGTAAATCATACGACGCGCCCGGCTGTCCCGCTCTGACGCGTCCTCGTATCCGCCACATTCCCATAATAATTAGTCATGTGCCGCCACACGTGTTCCCTCCCCGCCTGACAAACCTCAGGAGCTCAATATCCCGGTCATGACATTTACAACATGAATGACCTGTAGCAGGTCTGTAGCAGACGTACCGGGTCACGGACAGAACCGAACTCCCGGAAATGCTCCAAATACACAATTAAAACTCAGGTTTTATATCTGGAGAGATTTCCATCATGTTCTGGTACACGGAATGTTAATGTGTTTTATGTGAGAGCTGAACTCCGGCATGAGCAGATATTGTCCTCATACAAGAGTCATGTAATAAAGACCTGTCACTGCTGCTCTCTCTCCCTAAGCAGGGTGACTGGTCTTGTCTCCGCCCCCTCCTGTAATAAAGACCGCTCACTGC